GGGGAAAAGGAAAGGGCCTGAGGCTGTTAGGAATGGTGGGAGTTGCAGTCCAAAACACCTGGAGGGCAGGTCGAAGTTGATCCATGCCTGTTCTATAGTACTGTACAGGGGAGACATTTGTATTCCTATTCTGAGTGCTGCGTAAACAACAGAAGAGCAGGATGTGGCTGCTGTGGAAGCGTAGCCAAGATATACAAATATGAAATGAGCAACATAATCAGTCTGAAAAAAATATGAATCTCTGTGGAGCGGCTGGGGGTGTTTGTCTCAGAGATGACTCTTGGGGCTAAATGCCAACACTCGGGGAGAAAGGGGGGGGGCATAAATATAAACAAAGAACATAAATAAATAAATACTCCCCCCAACATTGCTAGGTAACAGTAGGAATCCCACTCCCAGGATTGCAAAATCCGCTCCAAAAGGAGGAGAGAGCCAATACTTAATGGTCAGCATGTGAGCGGACTTCCTGGGCCAGCGAACTAGTATCATATTCATAGGGAGGACTTTGCAGTCCCTATGTGGGGTAATGTCTTCTGCTTCATTACTCTGGGGTCATAGAATCCTAGATTTGGAAGAGACCTCATGGGCCATCCAGTCCAACCCCATTCTGCCAAGAAGCAGGAATATTGCATTCAAAGCACCTCTGACAGATGGCCACCCAGCCTCTGTTTCAAAGCCTCCAAAGAAAGAGCCTCCACCCTCCAGGACAGTGAGTTCCTCTGTTGAACGGCTCTCACAGTCAGGAAGTTCTTCCTCATGTTCAGATGGAATCTCCTCTCTTGTAGTTTGAAGCCATTGTTCCATTGCGTCCTAGTCTCCAGGGAAGCAGAAAACAAGCTTGCTCCCTCCTCCTCCCTGTGGCTTCCTCTCACATATTTATACATGGCTATCATATCTCCTCTCAGCCTTCTCTTCTTCAGGCTAAACATGCCCAGCTCCTTAAGCCGCTCCTCATAGGGCTTGTCCTCCAGACCCTTGATCATTTTAGTCACCCACCTCTGGACACATTCCAGCTTAGAGTCAATATCTCTCTTGAATTGGACACAATATTCCAGGTAAAGTGGTCTAACCAAAGCGGAATAGAGCATGGGGAGCATGACTTCCCTAGATCTGGACACTAGGCTCCTCTTGATGCAGGCCAAAATCCCATTGGCTTTTTTGCCGCCACATCACATTGTTGGTTCATCTTTAACTTGTTGTCCACGAGGACTCCAAGATCTTTTTCACACGTACTGCTCTTGAGCCAGGCATTGTCCCCCATTCTGTCTCTTTGCATTTCCTTTTTTTCTCCCTAAGTGGAGTCTCTTGCATTTGTCACTGTTGAACTTCATTTTGTTAGTTTTGGCCATTCATCTCTCTCATCTGAGAAGATCCCTTTAATTCCTGCTCCTGTCCTCTGGAGTCTTGGCTCTCCCTCCCAATTTGGTGTCGTCTGCAAACTTGATGATCCTGCCTTCTCGCCCTTCACCTAAGTCATTAATAAAGATCCTGAACAGGACCAAGCCCAGGAGGGAACCCTGCTGATGGCACTCTGCTCATCACTTCTCTCCAGGATGAAGAGGAAGCCTTGGGGAGAATCACCCTCTGGGTTCGTCCATTTAACCAAGTCTTCATACACACCTCTGTGCCTCCTCCTCACATTGTTCTTGTAATTGCTTGTAGGCAACCGAGTGCTGCGTCACCTCAGGAAGTGGTGCCAAGGGCCACAGAACCGCTACATGTTGCAGGATGTTAGATGCAATCATGTCGTCCTTTGGAATGACTAACGTGACCTCAGGCTCAGGACTTTGGGATGACTAATGTGACCTCAAGCAGCTCCTGACATGAATGGCTTCAAAGAGGGAGCCAAGCCTGTCTCTCTGTCTGTGCTGTGGCTCACTTTGCGCCTGAGCTTTCTGAGCCTGAGTTTCCTCAGGATGAGGAGGAGGATGGGTTACAGATTTCTGAACATGACCCTGTTATTGAGGCAGACAGTGTTGATTCTGATGAAGAGACAGCATTTCTGTTTCCCAGAGAAAGAAATGTTGTTTTAGATCAGCGGTTCTCAACCTGGGGGTCGTGACCCCCAGAGGGGTCACCTGGTGATTTCAGTGGGGTCAAACCCTCACTGCACCCCCCCCCCCCGACTG